TTTGCAAAGCATGCTGCTAGAAAAGTCCCTGTCAATACTACACAAATCTGTTTAAGCTGCTGAACATAGCTAGAAATTCGCCCTCAGATAAACAGGCAGTAATAGATTAACATAATTCAGTTTTCGAGGAAACATGGAGTGTTATCATGAGACCAGCTTTTGATTTGAATGAGATCATCAAGGTAGACGCCATTAGATAAGCTGATAATAAGCATACAGATGTACGTTTTGTTACAAGAAAATAGAGGAAAAAGCAACTTATGTGAGTCTGTATTGGCATTGGACCGTAACCAAACGTCCTTTGCAGTCGAGCATATAACTGCTGAAAAAAATTAATAACCAACAACTGACACAAGGAGAAGGTTAACAATGGGAAGGCAGGAGGAATTAGTTCAATTCAATCGGATGGCATGGCTCAGCTTTGTAAGTGCGGTCATTCCTGCGTAACATGTCTCTTTTATTCATATTAAATATAGTGTTCTGTCTGCAGCCCAAATGTGTTCTCCAGCACATACTAGTGATGATTACGAAACATCAAACCGGTGTAGACAATGAGGTAACTTCTATGTAAGATCTTATAGGGAGTCACATCATGATAAATCTTTAGAATTATGGTCTACTATGATATTAGCACGGCTCTTATAATAGACCTAATCCTAAATTTGTAGATTTGTCATGATATAACTGCCTAATCTACAAGATCTTACGTGGAAGTCACACCATCGACTACACCAACTCACTGTATCGTATCAATTACCAATACATGATGTAGAACAAGGTTAGGCTAGAGAAAGAACAATATATTTAATATGAATAGAAGATATAAGGTAACATTCAGCAGAGACCACGCCTGCATGGCCGAGCCATGCCACTCGATCGACTCCAGTCCATTCAATTCATTCTTCGTGCCTTCTCCATCGTTAGGTATTTATCCGCGTTAAATATTGAATATCTATTTTCTGAGTAGTCTCGTGTTCAGCTTTGTGGATTGTGCGGTTATTGTTCAATGCCACTACAAATCTTTCATGCCTTAAGGTAACCCTCGTGCTATTGATAGTAGAAACCAGACAAGTAGTGAATAGGTCTTTATTTCGATCTTCGCGCAGTCACAGTGGAGCGTGGGGTTATTTAATTAGACAAACAAAGCCTCTCAACATTCAATATATTATAATAGGGAATATAACGCTTATTCAAAATAAGGAAGTGAATAAATATTTGAACTATATTGTTTTGGCATATGCTTGGTTGTTTGAGGTGAACTCTTAACCAACCAACCTAAGCTGTTACAAATCTTCAATTTTAGGATTAGGTCTCTCATTACAGTAGCACTGATAACGAATTAGGATGTAATCCTACAAATCTACGTTTCACTCCTGGATTCACATATCAATAAAAAACAGACTGTGGGGAGCAAAGCCTGAACGGTGATGATGTGATCAAGAAACAATATAAGATAAGTGGTTGGCTCACAGTCACACCCAGAAACAGAAAAGTAAGTAAATAGAGTAAGATCTCCGTGGTTGACACGCAGTGGGATTGCCAAGAGAATAGGATTGTAGGAAATAAAATTCCACAGTGTCTTAAGACGGACCTTGCTGACAGGTCGGTCAATTTTCATAGTTAAAAGAATCTTCCAAAAAGGAACCAAAGGCTATATTTGAGCACGAACTCAACCACATTAAGTCTTTAATAGGCAAGCTACTTCGAGAAACATATGTAAGCATATGTAAGCTTTATAGAGTAAGACAAATGTTGGATTCTGAAAGTACTCAGAAAAGCCTCTTAAACGTTACCTTTGCTTTGGTTGAAAAAAGAAACCTAATTCTGGGGAATTCACACAGACTGACTGAATCCAGAATATACGTCCGTGAAGATCTCAGTCTAACTGACCGTATTAAGAGGTGATCGGTTGAAGTAGAAGTAAATGAGCGCCGCCAAAACGGTTAAAAACCTCGTACTTATGGGTTTTAAAATTGTAAAATTTCGAGGCGAAACGATCCTTAAAGCACACTGGGTGGTAAATGAAAGTTCTCCACATAATTATAGGTGTGCTACACAACTACTCGCAGCCTACAAAATAAAGTGATGGAGCTGACTACAATGGTGGATATAGAAAACCCGGATGTCATTTCTGTCTCAGAAACATGGTTGACGTCAGAAGCGTTTGATAGTGAAATTCAGTTGATTGGTTTTTTGTCCAGCAGGGCTGAACCATAGGGGAGGTGAGGTTATCCTGTACACGAAAAGTACCCTAAACATACGAGCTGTTGAGACAGTGGCACATGATTCAGGGACATGTGAATTAGCGAGTTGGAAGCTGAAATGTAAACGTCAAGATATTGAATTAGTCGCAGTATTTAGTGGCCTAGGATTTGACTCCAGTGAGATGGTATGAATGGTTGCTGTCGAGATATACATCCTTACTATTCTCGTACATAATTATCGACTTAAGTCGTGTTAGTGAACAACGGAATTTAATAAGTTAAACAGGAGAATGAATTTCGAATACGTATATTTCATACAATCCTTGATCCAGACAGAAGATCGGGGAAGCGGGGAGAAGAGAGTTAAGCGAACTGACGTGCAGTGGAGAAGGCATGTGTGTCAACCCTGTCTAATCAAGCTTTAATCAATGTTTATAGTCACACGAAAATAAGCTGCAGATATGTGATGAGTAGAATAAGATGTACACACATATACACTGATATAGAAACAGTCAAGGTTGATAAGTGAATAATTAACAAGGTCAAAACGTGACTCAAGAATAATGGATAGATTGGCCAGAAGCCAGAATAAAGTATATGAGCTTGACATGGTATCCGATACTACAAGTATACTTCAGTCCAGAATGTGTAGTACATGACTTCATCCTATACAAACTTGAGTCCTGGTGTAATAGGGATAAAAGCCCTAAAGTAGGCTACAATAATGCACTGTATAGAAACTGGGTAAGCTTAGAAGCAGAGTCATCAGCAACATCATTTGATCGCAATTTTTTAAAAACCACGATTGCACTAGCCCTATTCCAGAACATTAGAGACCTCACTAGATATGACTTGCGAAGCTCCTAGTCTCTCTTTAACTTAGTCTTCACACAAGGCGATGACGTCGGTCAAATGACTCTTCTCCCAGCTCTAGTGATAAGTGATCATGTAGTCACCTTATGCAAGTTCATGGCTTAGATGACCTGTCAAACAGTTGCGCCGGCGCGTTCCAACATATGAAAAGCAGACATGAAGGAGATCGACTCTACAGCATCGAACAGGAACTGAATATTTCACCCAGGGGCATCAGTAGGGGAGGCCTAAACTCAGTTCAGGCGGGCATACAATTACGCGACAACCATATACACCCTAGACAGCCCCAAAGAAGACGAAGCACGGCCATCACTGGATAGCCCGGGATACCTACTTTGGTCTGAGCACCCCTGTAGTATCCCGGCCCTCACACAAGTCAAATTGTTTGTGTGGCGCATATATATTTGGTGCATCCTTGTACCTATGTTTATGTGTTCACAAATTTACAGTTACTTGGTAAAATAGAAAAACCAAATAGTAAATCGTTAATTTGCAAAATATCATTCTATCATATCAAACTGGACTGTTGCCGTTGCAAACATCAATCCATTGTCTCACATTGCATTGTTCATGCGGTTTTTTACAAATTCCGTTGTGTTCTCGCTCTTCCTTTTTTGATCTTCCCCCATCTTCTGCTGCCAGACATTACGTTCTTTAACTCGCGTTATATACTACTTATATCAATATAAGTAGCACGCATCACAATGTTAACAACAATAAGTCGGGGATATTCGTCATTTACTAAGGCAAAAGAAGAAATGTTGGAACGTTGACATCTGCCTTGGAATAACAAGTACGACGGAACTCCACAGGTCGATAAGAAACTAGTGTATAATTAATATTCACAACCTCAATGAGAACTAGGCTTGAGAACTACATTCAGGTGGGAAGCCCCTGTTTAAAAGGTTACTCAGATATCCTGGGAAAGTACAGAGGGCGGTTACACGCTCAATTTCAGAACCCCAGGATTCGCCATACAAAGAGCGGCTTGAAAAGCTAGACCACTTTACTCTGTCCTATCTCAGACCAGGAGGTGATCTAGTTTTAATGTATAGAATACTAAGAAGTGATTTTCTACCTAATATATCCTCTGTTTTTCTTTCCACTGGATCAGGACATCTACGAGTACATAGCAAGTAAGTAGAAAAGTCAAGAACGCAAAAAAATATCCATGACACACAGGTTTTAACACCGAGTCATCAATTCTTGGAACCTGTTACCCGAAGGAGTGGTGTCGACACCTTCTATTTACTCATTCAAGAGAAGACTAGACACTTATACAAGGATATCACAAAGGAAATAACATAGGCTGTAGGACTTGTGTCCTTAGTATACAAATCTAAATCTGAAATCTGTAATTCAATTAACTGATGTATGATCTTATGTAGGCGAAAAGCCCATCGATAACTAATAGATTGCAGTTTTCAACAATCAAAAGACGCTTGCTGGTAGTGACATTTCGTGCTTTAAACGATGATTTGAATGGCAAAATGTCTCCTCTTTCTTCTCTCCCCAGAACTAATCATTTCCGAGGCAACAACGAGTGGTCTAAATGCTATGATCAAGTAAATGAATTGTGTGGTTTACCGTTTTTCTCATCAAATACTCAATGATGGGAACGCTGTGAACAAACAAGTGCTACCAGCCTCGTCAGTGAACTCTAAAAAGAGGAGATAGATCCCTACTAGAAAAAAGCTGTAAGGTATAGCACAGGTCCACTGGCGTATCCTTTCTGAGGACTGAATGTGTTGTATCACTGAGAGAATTCATAGGTTTAACATCTCTCCTATATAGTTCAGGTCAGCCCACTAACTGCGCTAAAACTCTAGATCTTCTGTAATCTTATCAGTTTCTTGTAAAGCGAAACTCACGAATTTTCATTTTGATTGTCTTGGTTATGATTGGTTTATATCAAGGTCACACTGGAATTTTTCAAGGTTGTCAGTTGAGGCACAGTGATTGTTTGATTTGATTCCAAGCTTGTCTTAATTTGAGGTTTGTGTTATTGCTGATTGTTTCCTACTGTTATCCATAGTAACTGCAACTAGAGTGTGTGAACCCTTAAGGAATTATTCCCATGTGACGTTAAGTTATCATTATTATCGTTATTATTATTAAATAACAATGATAACACTTGCTAAGTAAAACGTCTATAAAGAATGTAAAAATTACCGATTATCAATAGATGATTGAGGTGTCTGATAGTTAGAAACTCACTGTTATTTCCGGTAGGTTTCATGGCCTGTCGCTCTAGGTTTGTATGTTAAAGAACCAGTAAATAGACCAAAAATAACCCGAGCTCCCAATTTTGGGTAAAATTTGGCACATTTTGGGTAAACGGCACAAAAACCCCAATATTTCCCCAAAATTCCCCTTAAGCCTTGGTCAAGGTCATTTAACTTTAAGGATTTCCCCGGAATTCCCCAAAGTTCCCCAAAATTTCCCCAAGCATTGGTAAAGGTCATTTGACTTCGGGATTTTCCCCAAAATTGGAAGCTCGGGAACCCTCAATACAATTGTTTGATTCCTTATAGATTTGTTCAATGCCAAGTCCTTCCCGTCTTCGTAGACAGGACAGGCCTGAAATGAGCATTACCAAGGATCCATGACTCACGGATAACATAGGAATCAAAAAGCTAGCTAGCTGCATTCTAGAATGCAGCGTAAAGCACGTTTGCAACTAGATGACTAGTCTTCATACCATTAACTTTTTGGTAATGGAGCTTTAAAAGTGAATGTTGGTGAACTATGTACAGTAAGGAAAGTCTAGATAGACTCCGGTTCTGGTACACGAGTTCTCACAGTATGCTGAAACTTCAGAATATGATTTGCCAACCGACTCATACGCTGATATAGTTTCAGTAACGTTGGTGACCTTCAGTCCTCAGTAATAAGGATAGGAGATCTGTCGACCTATATTAATCCTTGCAGTTTGTAATACTGTGGAGGTCCAATCTCGTTTTGAATATATTAACAGATGGTGCTGATATTACGTGTTCCGGTAGAGAATTCCAGTAATTCACTACTCAGTGCGAGAAACGGAACTCCAGACGTAAACGGTTTGACCTCGGTTTTTGAACTTTCTTCGAATGTCCTCTCAAATGATCGGTTCTAGACGGAAGCAAAAGATAAGACATGTTAATATCAAGGTCATCGTTCAGTATACGATAGGCCAATATTAGATCACCCCGTATTCTACGGTAAGATAACGGAAATAAGTTAAGGTGTCTCAGTCTGTTTTCATAGCATAGGCCAGATAGACCTTGTGCCATCTTAGTAGCTCGTCGTTGGACTCTTTCTAGCATATCTGCTTCATATTTGAAACAAGGACACGCTGCTTGAATCCCGTATTCTAGATGTGGTCGCACATAAATCGGGTATAGTAATCTAAACATTTCATCATCTAAATACTGGAAAGACCTACGAATTGACCATAATACCCTATAGCCTTTTGCAGCAGCAGCCTTACAGTGACTAGTGGTTTTGAGGTCATTGCTTAATATGACTCCTAAATCTTTATAGTTTCTTGCTTTGGGTAGCACGAATCCACGTAGTGTATAGTCATACGATTCATCGGAGTTATTTAACTGCAACACTACACTCTCATTAGGATTTACTTCTAGTGACCACCTGTCTAACCATGCCACCAATGAGCTAAGATCGTCCTGTAATACTATTCTATCCGATATACTATGTATGGGTCTCCAAATCTTTATGTCATCAGCGAAGAGTAGAACGGATGATTTTGCTACAGTTGGCAATTCATTTACATAAAGTAAAAAGAGAAGAGGACCTAGGGTTGTGCCTTGGGGAACCCCACTTTTTACAGGTATCCACGAGGAGAGAGCCTTATTAACCCTTACCCTTTGTCTCCTGTCATAGAGAAAGTTACTTATCCAATCGACGACTGTATAATGGATTCCAAAACGTTTCAGTTTGAATTTAAGACCAGAGTGGGAAACCTTATCAAAGGCTTTACTTAGATCTATGAAAAACACATCCACAGGAGCATTCCGATCCTAAGATATCAGGTGCAAGTAAAACCCTGAAAAATAGTGGCAGTAAGGTGTCACTCTTCACCAGATACAGCATATTCACTCTTACTAGGGTGTTATCTCGTGAGCAAAATACGTGACATAAGATTTTGTCGCTCAAAATGCAAAGAACATTGGATATTTGTTGGTTTAGCTTATCACAATAAGCCAAATGAAGAGTTTTATAACAAACTTTCCAAACAGTCTACCAATTGTAGATTTTTATCTTAGGTGGTTGTAATGTGCTGGTTGTAGACTGGGAAAATTCTAAGGATGGATTTATTCGAAGACTCATTGGGGCAACGTTTGGGTGACGATTTATTATTATTATTTTATTTTCAACACATAAATAGTGGTACAAAAGGACACCAAATATATATGCGCCACACCATATTTGTGTGTGTGTGGGCTGTGATACTGCCCGGGTGCCCAGACTGGAACAGGTGGTTTTCTTAGGGGACCACGCCCCGGACCTTTAATCTAAAGGTCTGACCCACAAGGCAGTGGAGCATCGTGAGGAGATGCATTCCCATGGTAGCCGGTGACCAAAGATTAGTTCATACGCCATTTGTTCCCGCAGGATACTGGAGCCCATGTGCACCATTGGTTCGGGATCCGGTTAAAGCGCCGGACATTCGCTTTCCGTCCTTTTATTTTTGTAAACAACACCCCCTCCACGAGAAGGCAGTGAGTAGGACTTCCCTGGCAGAGGCTGTATACGCGTGGCCGTGTGAGAGCATTCCGAGAGGGAGGGCGGGTAGAGAGAAATTACATTTTAGTTGAATGTCGATAGTTTCGGCTAACTTTAGTCTATCAACACACATATAACTCTGCTCTTGGGACTTGTTGGACTTTGATCCGCGAGTCTTCCAGAATTCTAGTCAGTCTTATTTTTTTCCGTATCCGGTCAGCCTGAAGACAATGTCCTCTTAGTAGAGGTAGGATTTATTGAACTAGATGGAGTGCTGTTTTCAGCTTTGAATGTAAGGGGTTATGGACTGTCTTACTCGTAGTCTACCTTCTGAATGTCATTTTTAGCGGATGGGTTGCCTAACTTACTTGGTAACAGAGTGTAGCTATAACAACTACACAATCATATATAGTATTCCAGTGATCTGCAACAGCATCTACTGTGGTGTGTGCTACTTAGACTGACATAAGTAGTAAGTGGTGTTAGTTGTGAACAGAAGGTCTGGCAGCAGAGAGACAAGAGGGTCGAACAGTAAAGAATGGAAACATGATGCAATTTATATGAAAATGCAAGAACAATGAAATCTGAGTCATTTTGAGACAATCGATGGACATTTTGCAAATTAAACACTTTATGATTGTTAGATTTTGTTAACAAGTCCTGTAATTTTGTGTTAAATACATTCGATTGTCCCCACCCGTGTTCTGTTCACTACAGTAGTACTTATTGAACGGATTTACTTTGTATTAACTAACAGCGTGAGTTATTAATTTCTTGATTCGTTTTTGTGTCTGACAGATGGTAGCCATTATATTTATGCTCTTTATTGGGTAAAGTTAGGTGGCAGTAGACTGGTTAATAGTAAAATTTTATTGGACGTAGTAACAAAGATAGTTGTTGTGTATAGCAAAGGTAGTGGTATGTTATTGGTGTGGTTATTAGTTTAACTGTTGTAAAACTGCTACTTATCACAACGAAACAAGGACTGATACCACTCGATGTAGGGAAGAAAACAAGAATACAAATGAAGATTTACTTGTACACCAACAACAAGTGCACAACTGATTCCAAAACTATCAAAATTGCAATATTATGCACGACGGACTGTAGTTGATATTGGTTAATCGATACTCTTATGCATGTATATAATTTACAATGTTAGTAGATTAACTGTTTTAGCTAATAAACAACTAAATTTGTGAGTTACGTAGTTACTTTCCCGACAATAGTTGCTTTTAAGATTTGGAAGTTAATCAAGTATGCTATAAGAAACTTGTGTGGATCAGTAATTATGAAAGTCGGTTGTATGAAATAAGTTAAATTTTAAGAACGAATTGTAGTCAGGAAAAACATGCAAGCGAATATTATTCCGTTTGAGGTAAGAAATCGACAGAGTGGGTGAAAGGTGATGGTTTGAAAACGCAAGAGGTTGCGACTATGCTGAAAAGAAACTTCTACTTAGGAAAGGCAAGAACTTCTGGAATGCAAAGACGACCGACGTAAATTCTCACTGGTAAGTTTCTGGCCAATTTTTATACGACTGAATAAAATGTCTTTCGATTTGATGACCCATATTCGGAAGGTGTATCATTAAGCTTATAAATTCACTGCCATCTGTTTACAACCATGCAGAGAAATGTTTTTAAATCCTCCTGAAGGAAACGATATTTGCAACTCTTCAAGAACAAGCAAAGTATCACTCATATAGTGGCTATATCAGATAGCTCGTTCTTCAGGTTATTGGTAAGCTCTTTCACATGCGTGAAACTTTTACCAGTCTGAACTTATTACTATTGATTGTTTCTGATCACGAATAAACTTATCTAATGTATCTCTTTGTAGACTATTTTCTTCAAATAATTAACTGTGTTATCTGACAAATGATTTCTAATAAGATGGGATACCCGCTGGCAGTTATGTCTGGATTTTGTGCAGCGTGCACTAGTCTATATGCCAAGTTATTGAGCGAGGGGTACATGTTAAACAAATTGCTGGCGTGTTTTCCAGATGCGAATAAGAATTTTCTCGTCGTTTTAAGCTACGGTGGTGCTGTTGTTCTGAATGTCATAATGTGGCTGGCTCTTGTCACAGCACTTGGCATTGGTCAAAGAGGTGTTGCGGTGTTGGCAACAAACACGCTGTCGAATTTCGCGTTTTCAGTAAGTCATTATAAACTTGTATCACGTAACTGTACAGGCAGCTTTTGGCAGGTGTATTTTCCAAGAAGAACTGACTGCGAATTGGTTTGCTGGGATGCTTTGCCTGAGCACTGGAATTATTTTTCTGGTTCGTGAATAGTAACCTGCTGTCCAGTTCGATGGTTATGTATTGACGACACCCTATGTCTCAGAATAGAAGTACAAGCAAACTTCGTGAAAATTGTGTTTTCAGTACTTCTCATTACAATAGGTCTTTCCATGGTTGCACATTTTTATTACTAATGTTAACATTAGTGGTGTTTCGTGTATAAACATATCGCTGCTGTTTCGTAGCAGGATTTCTCACGTGTACTTTCTTTATGGTATCACTTTCTGTATCCCGAGTTAGAAATTTTATTCATTCCATCACGACAAATGATGTTGGATATTTCTTACTACCTTTCAGAAAACGTCCACTTTTTTATTTTATTTTACTGTCTTTACAATGAGTTTAAAATGATTTTCAGATGTATTAAGTCACTGTTTTGCGGGTTTATTTTTGAATTTTTGATAAGTAACAAATACCCGTTGAAGTTGGTTCTCACAGCTTTCCAAATTTTTTTGGACATCAACTTATTTCAAGAAACATCTCGTCACTGATATGTATAGTTTTTTTTAAAATTCCTATTTATGTCTCAGAGGGTTTTTTATCATGTGCTGCTCAAGAAGTGGATCTTTTTCGTTTACCAAATTCTGTTGATGTACAGCTACAACTTCATAAATATTTTACTTTTGCCACATTAATTTGGCACCAATCACCTGAGTGCCTAAGAAGTTTGCCTCGAGCGTTTCCAATTGTGAACATGTACAAAGTGAACTAAAAGTGGTTTAAGCAGTTAGTGACTACCCACAACTTTGGCCTCAACCACTCTAGTTGGCGAACATTCAGGAAAACAACCTCTTCTACTTGCTACTTCGTGGTCAAACCAATCACATTTTACTTCGCAGTAAATGGTATTGATCCGGAGAAACTATTTCTCGGGTGCTCGTTAATGTTGCGTAACAGACTCTTGCCACAATGCTTGGTATTACACAGATGTGGTTTTCATTACATCCTATTTTAAGGGATAACTATCAAACTGAGTTATATTGCAGAATAGTTGGTTTCGGCGGCGTTATTGTAAGTAGTAGTTATGAATGTTGAGTAAAAAGGTGTAGGTACACCCACTCTTTGTCTTTCCTTACATACTTAGTTTTGCAATTCTTTTATTTCGCGGACTAATTTCTTATTTTAGTTATATTCTCTATACATTATTTCTTCTTACCATCAATGATACTTTTGCTACTTTGGTTAACATCTTTATAATTTCATCTTATCTTACTAATGAGATATGGCAACTTCCGACAGTGTATATCTGCGCCAGGTTCTACGTTGATGATGAATGACCATCTGTTCCTTAAAGGGACCCGTGTACCGACATTTGTAAGCAAAAAATAATTACTTCTAGGACAATGAGATTGTTTCTCTAAATTGTAGCTGCAGTTCTACATCATTGATTATTCTAAGTATTCTAGCTGTCATCACGCTTACCATTGTTGCAATTACTTACTGGTCCTTCCTATGGCAGTTTCATCAAGTTAATGTGGCCATTTATTTACCTTGCCCATTACTCTACTGTTTTTGATTAGTTTACTTATTGGTTCCACTTCCTAAATGTATAAATAGACCTAGTTCATTCAACATAGAATGGAGGAACCTAAATATCGGTGTAAGTGTGTAATTCCTGTCAACATTAATATCTAGAACTTCATATCCAAACTTTATTTTAAGCACTTGGTCCTTCACACATCTAGAACACTTGAAACTAAATGTGTCCCTAATGTTATGGCTCTTCCAACTATTTACAATTATATTTATCACGGTTGAGATGATGATTTCATCGCTGTTCCTATTTGTCTGTACTTCTTTCTCCGGAAATTGAAGGCTGTAAAGGTCATAAAGTACGTAACTTTACTGATCGACACTTCGTTTCTTAGCCTAAATTCATTATTAGGGTTGAGATAACATTTTTCTACAGAAATACTGACCAGAATCTTCCAAGAAAGAGCCATCGCATGAAAGCGAATCATTTTCTAAGTTATTTATTAGTTGGGTCATATTTGAAGAGCAATACCACTGTCGAATTATTAAGTAGCACATAAATTGGAGTATTGCTCAAGCCAACTATGAGAGCTAACATGAGAGGGCTGTTTTTTGGTACACATTTCAATCATTTGGACTCACACAAAAAGGGTCTCGCTCGAGATATTGAACCAACTGCAAGCTCACCTTCATGATGCCTGATGGCTCATCAAATGCTTCACGAAGTGTTGTTTGAATGTCCCTACTGCTAGTAACTATACAGAAGACAACTCTACAGGAGCAGTTGAAGACTATTTTACATTCCGCAAATCTTCATCGTATGAGTCCACAAAATTGGCATTTTGTGTTCATAGTGCGATGCATTTTCTTATTATAGCGATGGGTTAGTGGCCAAGAAGTGCGACTTTTAACCATTAGACAACAAGTTTGACTTCTACTCGGGTCTGGACGGCTGGGTAGCATTGCTAACCGTCACATGCATCAAGGTTCAAAGCCGAATATACAAATGTGTATTTGACGGGTTTCATCAGTTTCTTTTCAAACATATAGATGCAAACAATTTTTTCATGATATGAAACCACTAAAATATCATAGGATCTTGAAGCAAAGGGTGTCGCTAGATCTTCCAAGCTGTAGAGTCTCCGGATGAACCTAGTAAACGCACATAAGCAACCTACTCAGCATCGATTTAATCCTGTTATCAACTAACCTTTTCATCTAATGGTAAGAACCGTATATACTAACCGACCAATGTATTATACCATCTAGTCGGGTAATAACCAGATTTTATCGATCTAGTTCCCTGTGATTATCAAGTAATACGAAATCACAATTAGAAGCTTGGTAATCTGCAGTCTCCAGTTCTTGGGCTTTGCGCCTATTGAGAATCATTAAAATGTGTGAACATGGTATAGAGAAGTGATATTCCGTTTGAAAATTACAGCCCACATCCGCATGAACTGTGGTAGACGACCTTAATGTAAAACTACAAGTTCCATCAACAAACTATTAGTACACGTTGATGAAGCACACTACATTTTGCACTGTAATCTGGGGTTGCAGTCTTTACTGTACTTGAAGCTAAACTTTCGGTACTAACTTCTAATACTCTTGCCGAGTAGACGGCCAAAAAACAAACACCTAACCTAAGTTAGCGCCACTAAACAAGACTAAAGTAGTGATACCACCTGGAAGTCAGGCTTGATTTGTGATTCAGCTCTTTGGATATTGACTGGGATAAGAGTGCTGTTTCGAGCCCCATGGGAGTTAGAGGATATTGGTTTTAGGGGGACTGCATCTATGTATGAAGCAGACCCTGGTGTTGTCCAAAACACCAACGAAGACTGCAATTAAGCCATGTAGCTCAACAGACAAGCACTGTCAGAAGCGTCTACCTGACGAAGTCTTTGTCCTACTATTAGTTCTAACGGTGATGTGTTTGGGAAGGTAAATGACTGGGTAACATGAATTTTTTTATGGATTGAGAACATTATCGCTCAAGACTCATGTTCACCGTTTTAGTTCGCTTTATCACGGCATACAAAATGGTCGTCTCGAATCGAGAGGATACGTAGTAGTTTGTTCAAGAGATTGAGGTGTAGTTATGTGCCTGATTATAACAAACTACTAAACACTTAAACTAGTCAAGATGTAACATTCTAGCCTCGACTGTCAGGTCGGCTTGGATTACTATACAGATGACGCGGAGTATTGTTGGTCTCACTATTCAATACAAACCTGTTTTATATTATCGCTAAATAAACGACTCGTCTTTACTTGTTCTTCATCTCAGATGTTTATACGCAAGCTTTCCATCATACCACCCCAGCAGCGAATTAGCAATAGGCTAAGACAAATCCAATAATGGATGAATGTTGCGAACCTGGCTACCCAAGAAAGATGTAGAGACACTGCTTTTTTGGTTAAATCTGAGGGGATAATTAGTCCTTAAGGTAAACAACATACAAAACAGCTAATAAATAACTCAAATTTAAGTACAGTTGAGAAATACGGCAAGAGGAATCTTTGAATATAAATGTTAGGTTTTTGATTGTTTTTCCAACGGATGAGAGACTTGATGGTTTATGTACACGTAAAAAGACAATCACGAATTCAAAATGCCAACTTCTTTATCATTAAATACAAATGTTTTCCGACACGGAAACCTTGCAAATTGCTAGCATCTCCTGTTAGTTGCATGAGTAATCCACCAAAAGATACATAACATGACAATCTACTCGAGTCAACTCCACTATCTTGGGTTTCTATCCGATAAATCTTCCCGTAACATACATAATCGAACTCCGCCATCTTGCTGTTCGCTAGCTTCTCATCAGTTTCATCTGCTGCATCGTCTTCATCATCGTCATCAGCATCCGTCCCCAGTTCATTCAACAACGTTTTTGTAAGCACCATTCGAAACTTGTCACCCTTTGAAAGACCATATATTAAGGCATGAATATCCAAAATCAATCCCATCTTAAATGATTCACTTTCACAAAACAATCTTGATACTTTGTCAAACTTTTTTCCATCTTTATCAACATCTTTTACGTCGAAAATATCCTCTAAAAGAGCGGACATACCAATCAGTCAATAACACTCCCGCAAGGTTAAGATGGGCAATTTCAAGGTCAAACGACAGAAACGTGTTTTTTCAACAGCGCGACCACACAGGTCATTCAACCAGCAATCACATGTGAGGGGGGAAATTCATTTGTGCGCAACGAAACATGGTATTAAACTGAATAAGCAAAAGATGTTTGTCATAAAAGTCAGTGAAATCATATCTCGAGAACTGTTTGAACTTAGCGTGTTTGGCGTCTCACGAAAAATATCATGGGACGATTCAAATAGTTGTGGACGGATTGAAGTTTTTACTTAACGAGCTTCCATGTCTAGCGGCAATTTATGTCAGGAACCTATGCACAATTAATGACAAAATGAGAGATATCGGTAAATTGTTGTGAAATTCTTTACGGAGTCCTTATAGCATATCTAGTTTCCTCTCAAAAGACTCCTGAAGAGTCCCTTCGCCCGCCTCAAGATTCATATTTCAGGAGTCCACCACTCGTAAGGTGTAGGTCTGGCCACAGCTCATTCTGCTGTTTTGTCTCCAATTTTTGGGTGTTACTTCAAAGGTTCGCGAGTGAGCTTACGTAATCATTGGGTGCCAATAGGTGTTATTATTATTATTATTATTAATGGCTTTATTCAATATTATATTTTGGTACAATATAGAATTCTCAGCACAGGGTATTTCAACAAGTTACTTACTGAACAACGAACAAAAGGCAGTAGCGAATACATAAAGAAATATATAAAATAAAAATAAAATAAAATAAAAAAAACCCAAAAGAAACTACAAACTTTTAAAATTAAAGACATGTTAAGAATGTAAGTTATTGACTAGGTTAATTCTAACAACCTGTTCGTCACAGAGTATATTTGCTAGGTAAGGTATTATAGAACTTTTATACTTTTCCTTGCGTGCAAGGATTTTAATGTAATTACTTCTCGTTCTACCAGAAGATATACAAGGAGAAAGATATGAGTGAAGGGGAAGTCACTAGAAGGTCATCTGTGAAACGCCTTTACTCCAGTGGGCAGAGATTTTTCGATCTCAGACGCCTTTTGTATGGTTTTAGTTTGAGTCCACAAATTGATTTTCCAACTGGCCTTCAGGTACGTACCAGTTG